AATCGTTATATATTTGCCCACATAATAGCACAAAATCTTCAGAGAATGTCCTAGGATATTCTGAGGATGTATGATTGTCTAGAAACACTTTAGAACGTCTTTTGAAGATTTGTGCTGTATGAGTGTATGCGATCAAGCACTAATGTTCTTTGATTATGGTCTAAAAGTCCATGTGGTCAGTTGTAAAATGATAGAGGACTTTTATGTTCAGTTTGAATTAAATATAAAGTATAAAACAGCGAACGGAGCCACAACTCATTTAACATAACGGGCATTATTACTCACCAATTTCTTTAATTAATATTTCCATACTTTTTGCGAATATCGCAAAACGGTATAGGACAATTATGTTCATCTCAGTGTGTTCTTTGTTCCAATAATCTTCCATTAAATTTTGTGAGGATTAATCAGTGACATACTGTATGTTGGAATATGCGACGACGCGTGTGCTAAATTTTCCTTCAGTTCTTGCAAGGATTTTTTTAGATATAATAAATTTTACTACATTTGAAGAAGTTTGTCTATTAGAATAGTTCAAATAAACAAATTTTTAATTCGACAAATACTATTGTTCGACATTATGAACAATTCAATTATATTGGGTGTACAACTTAATTCGGTCCGTTTTTTGCTTGAAAAACGCATTTATTTGAATGATAAAATGAATTAATACATTATTGAAGGTATTGTCCATCGCTAGCCACTACTTTTTCCCATCTTTCTGGCAATTTATGGATTCCGTCGCGGAAGAAGCGTTCATCTTTTGTAGCCAAGAATGAATCGAGCCAATTTTTGATACCCTGTTCTGAAGTGAAGTGTATTCCAGTCAAAGCGTTCTGCATCGATCGAAACAAATAGTAGTCGGAAAGGGCAAGGTCTGGGCTATAAGGCGGGTGAGCCAGAACTTCCCATCCGCTATTTTCCAAATAGTTTTTAACCGGAACAGCAACATGAGGCCGAGCGTTGTCATGGTGAAAGATTATGGACTCGTGTCTGGTCGCATATTCTGGAGGTTTTTCGGCTATAGCTCGCTTCAAACGGATCAATTGTCGCCTGTAGAAGTCTCCCGTGATGGTTTGACCAGGTTTTAGCAGCTCATAGTGGATCACACCCTTCTGATCCCACCAAATACAGAGCATTACCTTGGCATCATGGATATTCGGCTTCGGCGTTGATGTTCCCGGTTGGCCGGGCTTTACATACGATTTTTTGCGTTTCGGGTTGTCGTAGTGAATCCATTTTTCGTCCCCGGTAATGATTCGATGCAGAAAAGACTTCTTTTTGTACCGTTCAAGCAACATTTCGGACATGCAAAATCGTCGTTCGATATCTCTCGGTTTCAATTCGTATGGGACCCAATTTCCTTGCTTTTGGATGTATCCCGCGGCTTTGAGTCGTTTCGAAATAGCTTGTTGAGTAACTTCCAATGTTCTTGCGAGCTCTTTTTGCGTTTGACACGAATCTTGATCGAGTAATGTTTCTAATTCTTCATCTTCAAACTTTTTCGGTTGACCCGAACGCTCTTTGTCTTCAACACTAAAATCACCACTTTGAAATCGTCGAAACCATTCTCTGCAAGATTTATCCGACGGTGCAGATTCACCATAAACTTCCACAAGCATTCGATGCGCTTCAGCTGCACTTTTCTTCCAATTGAAACAGAAAATCAAAACTTCCCGCAAATGGTGCTTATTTGGAACGAAACTCGACATTTTCAACGCAGTAAAAATTAAACTTGTTGTGCAAAACTCAAAGGCTTGTAAACAATATTTGGTTGACAGATGTTGACACTTCACGATACAGCAAAAATCAGCTGTCGCCGTCAACCATTTATAACACCTAGAGCCATCTTTTGAAAACGGACCTAACTAAGTTGTACACCCAATATGATCCATGGAAGAAGATAATTTTATATAATTTACTTTTTTTTTTTGCAAAAATGATTCAGTAATACTGTTCAAAGAATTTTAAGAAACTTGACTTTCTTACCTTCCTGGCTCTTCCCTTCCTCTCTTCCTATGCTTACTACTATATAAATACTGCTATATAAAGGAAGATCTCTCTGGAGCAACTCGATATTAGGTTGTTCTTTCCTTATGAAACGGACTGAAATGTTCGCATAACGTCTGAATCAAACAAAGAAGAATTCACGCGGCTCAAACCCGGAAACCAAATCTAATATATTTTAATATTCATTTGTTGGAGATAAAATGCAATGAGGGGGACAAGTATATAGAAATAAATTTTATTTCACAAAAATTTTATATACCACAAATACATTTTCAAGTATTTTACTCAGTGCAACTGCCAACCAGTTGGAGCTAATTGGCATTTCTAATTTCTACACATTTGTTAAAGTCAAATAATCTAGACCGTGATCAGTAAGAAAGATGTGTATTCGTACCGATCACCGAATGAAGGAATATTTATGTAAAATATCACG